TTAAATATCGATTCTTTCGAAAATGAATCTTAAGGTATTTAATAATCTATCTAGTTTTTTATGAAAATAAAAATATAGTATGTCAATCTCAATGGAGTACGAAACGTATTTCTTTTCGATTCTCAGTGGCCGGGTGAGGATCTAGTAAGAATTGATTGAATAATAATTGTATCCAATAATTAAATTTCGTATAATAGAATAATGAATTATTAATAAACAGGTACCAAATTAAATGTAATAGCCCTTCACAACCAGTGAGTGGGGAAAAGTCACACTCCCCGACTATGCTATGCTAAATTAAATTCAATTAAATTAGTTGATTAATAAATAAATATTCCATTTAATTTGACATATTGATATTACGGAGCTCTTTGGTAGAGGTCCTATAATTAATAAATTCGTTCAAATATTGGTAACAACACGTCGGTTGTAACTTGACGATATAATGTTGATTTTTTGACGTGTTGAACGATAAATGTTTTGGGTGTAATTGTTCGAATGATCCTAAATGGTCCTTCATAACGAATATCAAATTTATAACGGATGTTGAGTGTTTTCACAAGAACTAAATCACCAATATTGTATGAGGGATTCGAACGATTTATATCGTATCGTTGTTTATATCGTTGTTGATTTTTTATGATATTGAGTTTAGCTTGTTCATTTAATTTCGATAAAAATTGTTGAAGCTTTTTTACATGTTCAGAATCATATGATAAAGTAACATTTGTATCTTGATGATCGAATGGTAGAACAGGTGATCGACCATACATCATTTCGAATGGTATTTGTTTTGTTGAGGAATGAATTGAAGTATTGTAATTAAATGTAACAAATGATAATTGATCATCCCAATCGGTTTTACGTAAATTTGATAAAGCTGCAATTTTTGCATCCATAGTTGAATTATATCTTTCAACTTGACCGTTTGTTTGAGGATGATATGGTGTTGAATATAAATGTGTTGATCCGATTTGTTTAATCAATTCATTCATCAATGTTGAAGTAAAATGTGTTCCATTGTCAGTAAGAATACATCGAGGAGTTCCAAATTTTGAAATAATGTCTTCTTTAAGAAATCTAATAGCTGTTTGAGCTGTATTATCACGTACAGCTTTGGTAATTACGAATTTTGATAGAACATCGGTGAGACATATAATATATTTGTTTCCACGTTGAGATGTTGGAGTAATAGGTCCATGGAAATCCATTGATACTAATTGCCATACTCCTTCTGGAGGTTTGATAGGTCGTAAGGTACCAGGATTTTTTTGTCGACGAGGATTGAATTGTGCACATGGTATACATGATTTAATATAATTATTAATATCTTTGTACATTGATGGCCAAAAATAACGTTGTTTAATTTTATGTATTGTTTTATCTCTTCCGAAATGAGCACCATTTGCTGCAGTATCATGATAAAGTTGTAAAATTGTTTTTCGGAAATCACCTTGTGGTACGTAAGGAACTGGAGGATTCAGTCGACGCATTAATAGATTATCTTTAATCATATAATTTTTATATTTCTTGATGTTGTTTAGAATATTTTTTGAGTAATCATCATTTTGTTGAGCTTGAATTAATTCTTCAATAGAAAATGGAGTTGTGCGATTCTCTTCAATAGAAGTATTCAGAGAATCTGATGGTAATTTTGTATTTGAAATGTCATTTAAAGTTTTGTTTCGTAATTTCATAGCACGAGTTTCAACAGCTGCGACAATAGATGAATGATTATTAACATTTGAAATATCGGTTTGCGTTGATTTTGAAATAAGATGCGTAGTTTCATCAGGATCTTCTTCAGCATCTTCAACCGGAGATCTTGATAAATAATCAGGCATTAAATTAATTGAACCAGGAATGTATTTCACCTTAAAATCATATTCTAAGATTTTTAATCTCCATCTTTCACATCGTTTATTAATTTGTGCTTTTTTATTTAATTGTGTTAATGCTTTGTGATCAGTTTCCCAAATAAATGTAATTCCACTTAAATAATTGTGCCATTTATCTAATGCACATATAAATGCATAACATTCTTGTTCCATAGGAGACCATTTACGTTGTGCTTGTGTAAATTTCTTTGATAAATATGCAATAGGTCTATCACCTTCTGGATAAATTTGTAATAGTACTGCACCGATTCCCTCATCAGATGCATCCGTTTGTACTTTAAAAGGGAATCTATTATTTGGAAGTCGTAATACCAGATCAGTTGTAAGAAAATTTTTAAGTTGTTCGAAGGCTTTAATTTCTTCATGTGTTAACGTAATAATAGTTTTTTGTCCTTTCTTTCGTTGAGTTCGAGTAGTTGGTACGAATTTTCTAAGTGGTTCGGCGATTTGTGAAAAATTTGGTATAAATTTTCTATAATATTCAGCAGCTTTAACGAATTTACAAGCTTCATCTGCCGTTTGTGGTAATCTTGTATTTAGTAGACCATGTATATTGGTAGGACTTGGACGAATTTCACCATTTTTTATACGATGTCCAAGATAATCAGTTTGTGTTCGAGCAATTTCACATTTTTCTGGATTAAGACGAAATCGAGCATTTTTTAATATTGTACATATTTCATTGAGATGTGATAAATGTTCTTCGAGTGTTTTTGAATATATAATTACATCATCAATATAAGCTAATGCATATTTCCATCGTGTAGGACCTAATATATGATTAATAACACGTTGAAATGTTGCTGGACCATTTGTTATTCCTTGAGGAAGAACTGTAAATTGATAATGATTGTCTCGGGTGGAGAAAGCCGTTTTCGGTCGGTCCTCTTTAGATAGAGGTACCTGGAAATAACCAGATTTAAAATCGAATTTTGTATAATATGTTGCGTCGGATAATTGATCAAAAATTTCATCGATTCGAGGAAGTGGAAATGCATCTTTAATTGTAATAGCATTTAATCGGCGATAGTCGATACAGAATCGCATAGTTTTGTCTTTTTTCTTAACAAGAACGATTGGTGATGACCATGGTGAAGTTGATTCTTCAATTTGACCACGTTCTAATAATTTTTGTGTTTCTTGAAATTTAATTTCTTGATCTTTAGATGATGCTGGATATTGTTTTGAATAAATAGGTGGATGATCACTAGTTTTAATTGCTGATTGTGGAGGAATATTAATAATTGATGGTGTAGGATCAAATAATATTTTATTTCGCCATAAAATATCTTGAATTTCTAATCGATGTTTTGGATTTTCTATATGTTTAGTCGATTCCAATATTTGTTTTCGAATCTGTTCGGAATAACATTCTGCTCGTAGATGTTTTTGTAGATCATTTCCAGATAGAAAATGTTCGTTGCAATGATGACAGATAATGTTTAATTTTTCTTGATTCGAGTTGTCCCTTTTACGTAAGACAGCTCTGGATTTTAATTTATTGTAATGTCGAGTTGATGTTTGATGACGTTCGTTTAAAATAGAATTATTTTTTGTTGGAATTTGTGTAGTTGCATATATTGTATATGTTGCATCACGGGAGATGGTTCCGATTCGTGTATTTTTTGATAATGTTTGTTGTCGATTTTGTGCATTTATAAGTAACACTTTGGCGTGATTTCCATTAATATTTAGTAGTGTATGTGGTATAAAAATAAAGTTTGATATATGACGTTCGTATGGTTCAAATATAAGATTATTAGCATTAGTAACTTGACATGTAATATCAACTAATTGTTGTGAATATGGTGGAAGAGTAAGTTGTTGGACTAATAATGCCGGATAATTAATAGATGTGGGTTCCACGTATGGAATTGAAATTAATTGACCATATTGATCAGGAATAGTTAATTTTTTCTGGTCGCCATAAAGGTGAACATGATTCGAATTAATCCAATCATTACCTAAAAGAATTGATGTAATTAAATTTGTAGCAACATGAGCAGT